GAGTAGCTGAGATTACAGGTGTGTGCCACCATGCTTGGCTAATTTTTTGTGTTTCTAGTAGAGACAGAGTTTCACCATGCTGACCATGCTGGTCTCGAACTCCTGACCTCATGATCCACCAGCCTCAGCCTCTCAAAGTGTTGGAATTACGCGTGTGAGCCACTGTGTCCAGCTGAGCCCCCTTTCTTCTTGCTTGTCTCTCTCTGAGTCTTTGGGTAGAAAGTCATTCAACACTATTATGTGCATCTTCCTGTTGGGAAAAGTTTAATTTACTTTTTTAATTGTAGGTTCTACAACAACTGAAGCAGACATTTTCCACCAGGCACTTCTTGAAGGCAATACAGCTACTGAAGTTTCCCTAACAGTACTAGATACCATATCATTTTTCACTCAGTGCTTCAAGGTAAAAATGAATAGTTACAATTCAGTTGGTACCGTTGCAAAGAAACATTATACAGAAATTACCTAGTCAGATGTGTGGTAATGCAGTGAAAAAGGCTGACATGAATAGTCAGGAAAAGTGGATGGCAGTTCTAGTTTGGTTATCATGTGATCCTGGAAATCACTGAGACTGACTTGTGTCATCCATAAAGGAAAGGGAATGGACTAATTTGCCCTTAAGCTCCATTCTACCTCTTACATTCTATTAGATTTTCGTGTTTAATGGGAAGTTTGTTTTCCATACTTTAAATAGCCAGCAATTTTTAGCCCAAAATATGATTGGATCTGTTTCCCCAAATACCCATTGTGATGAGGTATCCTGTCAGGGTGGATGATGTCCAGGCAGGCTGGCTGGCTTCCCTAGTCAGGCACTTAGTGTTTTTTCTCAGATGTTTGCTTCTCAGTGCAAATCATTACTGCTACGATTTTAAAAAGAAGGTAAAAGCAATTATCTTGTAGGATTATTGGAGAGGGAAATGGGATAATGGATGCGAGAGTGCTTTGAAAAGTAAAAATGATGTGACTATAATGTAAGAACTCAAAGGTGAGAAATCTTGTGTGCTTTCACTTCAGTTATACAGATTTTTTTTTTCCCTTTTCTCCCTCTTCTCCAAGTAATTGAGTTAATTGCTTCGGCCCTCTAGATTTTCTATGGAAACCTGGCCTGTGCTTTTCAAAGAGGCTTATAAAGAAGAACTGAATTAGATACTAATATGAAATAGACTGTAGAATCCCTTTAATAAATAGGCTACAGATCCCTTTATGAAGTATTAGATTCATTCTATATTAAAATGCAACACAACTCCATTTTTCATCATGCCAATAAATAAGAAAGCCATTAGATCTCATGGTGTACATTGTATTCCTTCCTCCTATTCTGATACCTCTTCTTTATTTAACAAACATTTATATAATCTCTTGGTAGGTGTCAGGTACTATCTTAAGTGCTTTACAAATATTAACTCACTTTTTCATTGTAAGGCTGGGAATGAAAAAGGGGAGTCATCTTTTTGAAACAGTGGAAATGTTCTAAAATTAGATGGTGGTGATCATCCAACTCTGTTGCTGAATTTACTAACTGTAATTTAATTGTATACCTGAATCTGGTGAATTTTATGGTATATAAATTATATCTCAATAACTTAAAAATACAAACATGAACCCACTTTTAATCCTCATAATAACCTTATGATGTAGATACTGTTATTATTGCCTTTTGAAATGAAGAAACTGGGGCCCACAGGAGGCTAATGTCACATAGCTGGGCAGTGGCAGAATCAGGATTGAGATCTAGGCCAGTTATGAGAGAGCATGATTCTAGCCACTATACCATGCTTCGAAATACATTAAGGAAAATGCCAGAAAAATCAAACACCATTCAGGGATTCCAGCTGTCAGTATTATCATTAGATTGTTGTTGTTTTGGGTTTTGTTGTTTCTCGCCAAGTTGTAACCTACTGGTTAATTTCTTGAGGGATAGCAGGATAGGGCTGGAGAAACTAACCATTGCTGATTAAAACAAAGTTGACAAACTAATAGGTATTTCTCTACAATTTGTTGTTTCTTTGCAAGGAGCATTTAAACAATTTACATAGTCTGTTCAATTGTGATACCTGTTAATTGCCTGTACTCAAAGAGGGTTTAATTTGTCTTGAATGGCTAACCATATATTAAACATACTTTTAAAGTAAATTTAGATCATAATCTTATAAAATAGAATTGGTATTTTCATTCATTCATACATTACAATATTTGGTCTCTCTCAAAGAAATACAAAGGCTGATTGGCTTGTATTCACTTTTAATTTATTGATTTCTTAATTGAGAAGCAATATGGTATAGGTTAATAGAAAATAATATACTCTTCCCATAGTAGTCCTATATATTGCTGTGTTGCATTGAAAAAAAATTGCACCTGTTTAAAATGTTGGGATTAAGTATTCTACATGTCCTTTATGTAGTATTTGTTTGAGATTTCCAAGTTGAAAGATGGCACAAATATTTTGAAATTATTTGTAAGAGCCTTTTATTTTCCTGAAACTTCCAAACAGTGGTTTTTATAAACAGGTTTTGGTGAAATCAGTTCTCTCATTCTCAGTGAGGCATAAACCATATTTTTTAATGTTTTATAGACCCAACTTTTAAATAATGATGGCCACAACCCATTAATGAAAAAAGTGTTTGATATCCATCTTGCTTTTCTTAAAAATGGACAATCTGAAGTATCGCTGAAACATGTATTTGCCTCACTGAGAGCTTTCATCAGTAAGGTAAGGATAGAAGCTTGGGAGCAGCTGGTGGGCTCCCTTCATTGCAAAAAGGAGAGAAGGGAAAATGGGGATCATTGTGGTGACATACATGATGCCAGCTGGTGAAGCCATTATGTGCTACCTTTGTAAATAGAAATACAGAGCAACAAATTACAGACAGAGGGCCTGACCATAGACCCCCTCAAATCAGAAGCTACTTTTTATTTCACCCCATCATACCTAGAGGGAGGCACACACACATCAAGATACACATACACAGAAACAAATACCATCGGGTTAAAATAAGTCTGTATAGACCACTGGAGGTGGGCAAGAGAAACACTCTAATTTAGTAAAAGTGTTTCTGTAGCAATGGAGCTAGGATTTAATGTGGATTCAGCAAGAGATGAGACTAAAAATGCAAATGGAGTATAGATCATGTGGACTCAAGAGCTGGATTTCATCTTTTAGGCATCAGGTTCATGGAAGGGTTTTAAGCAGGGAAGTAACACAATTAGATTTGTATTAAGAGGGAATTGGTAAGGACAGGGGAACATCTTTTTAAACGTTCTGTGGAAGAAGGATTGGTGACACTATCAAAGGCAATAAAAAGACTAGTTGCAATAAGCTAGATAAGAAATGAGGGCTTGAAGTAAGGAGGTGACAGAGAATATATAAGAGTCAAAGGCAGATGAGACATGTTGAGATAGGATTTACAGGATTTAGTCATCGATCCACTGATAGTATGGTGGAGTGTGGTGGTTGATGTGAAATACAGGGGAAAGACTACATTTGCAGTAAAAGTTAATGAGTCCTGTTATATAGATCTGTTGAATTTGAGTACCTATGGGACATTAGGATATATGGATCTTTGCTCTGGAGAGGGGTCAGATTGGAGAGCCAGACTTGGAGTCACTCTCCATTCATCCATACTATATTTATTGAGCACCTTCTCTGTGTCAAGTGCTGTACTAGGTCCTGGAGATACAATGGAGATACAAAATATACCCTTTGCCCTCATGAAGAATTCGGCCTTAGTGGGGATAGGGGAGACAGAAAATAAATAATAAAAGAATCAGTAATTATAGGCCGGGCACAGTTGCTCACTCCTGTAATCCCAGCACTTTGGGAGGCCGAGGCAGGTGGATCACCTGAGATCAGGAGTTTGAGACTAGCCTGACCAACATAGTGAAACTCTGCCTCTCTAAAAATACAAAAATTAAACAGGCATGGTGGCATGCACCCATAATCCCAGCTTCTCAGGAGGCTGAGGCAGGAAATCACTTTAACCTGGTAGGCAGAGGTTGCAGTGAGCCGAGACCACACCACTGCACTCCAGCATGGGTGACAGAGTGAGACTCCGTCTCAAAAAAAAAGAAAGAAAGAAAGAAAAAGAAAAAGTGGCTGATTCCAAGTCTGAGGAAGAAAAAGTAGAGGATGAGCCTGGAACATTTGTCATACTAGACAGCAAGGAATCCCTCAGAGATTACCAAGTTTACTCAAAAGATCCAAAAGACAACTTGAACATGTTCCCACTGGCCAAAGACAAACTAATTCTACCCTTCAGAACACTCACAATTACAAAGCAAAGTTTGTAATTATGAAACAAAACAAAACAAAACAAAACTGGCTAAACTCAGAAGCTGGGTTCATTTGACATAGCTAAAGTCCCTTTTTGAATGCCCAAAGCCAATAAAAAGCTTTTAATTAGAACAAAGATAAATCCTGAAGACAAAGGACACTATTCCTCCTGGACAAAAGGTACCTTAGGCAACTAGTGTCTTCTGAGAGTGTTTGAGGTCATTGCTCATGATATGCAACAGTCCCATAGGTCCTCAAAGAAGAACACAGAGAGAATTTTGCTTAACCCAGGGGACCCTATGAAGGGCTGCTCTCCCAGTGCCTTAATCACCCAGGATTCACAGGCTTTGCCAAGACGCGTAAGAGGGGAGAAGCAACTTGCAGGTGACAGCTTGAGGAGTAATCCTAATTAAGCAGCACAGCAGATCCAAAACATCTTTCTTTTTCAGTTTAAAATGTAGCTAATTTATGGGCAGTGATCTATCTAAAACCACACCTTCCTTCTGAAAGGAGAGCTCCACCAACGGAAACTCCAGTTGGAGTCACATACAATAATTACTGTGCCACCTCCTGTCAATATCTAAAGAAACAGTCTTAACCCATGAAGACACCAAACTACCATGGCCAAAATGAGATATCTTTGAAATACCTAAATTAGTTTATTCACACATGCAATTAGAAAAACAGCTCTAAAAATAAACAATAATTAGGAGAGTTACTTCCAACAGTATTTAGACCTGTTCAAGAGAGGCTCTGACAAAGCTCTTTCCCTATAGGAAGAAGGTAAAAAAAGCTCTCCAAAATCACTTCTAAATTAAAGAAACCTACTTTAATCTGCAACAAATGTTAGGCTGTGGTGAGCTCAGGTAACTGAGACTCCAGAAGCAAGTAGAACCCATGTATTGATTAGGGAACTTCTAGGGGATTAAGGGAACTGATGACTGTTGAAGGTCAGCATCCCCCTAAATCTGTCCTTCACATCACAATCTCTAGGTATAATCATCTAAATGCTGCCACTCTTCTGCCTCTGACTTCAGATGAGAGGGCACAGGATTGCAAAATCTTCACTAGCCAGCCTCTCTCTCCCAGAACAGACCTCCAGGAGACTCCGCTTACTGGCACTGATGTTTTTTGGTTTACAGATGGATCTTACTTAAAGGATGAATCTGGGGCTTATAACACAGGTTATGCTACAGTATCTTTAACAGAAGAAATAGAAAGTCATGGCCTTCCAGGAGCTACCTCCGCTCTACAAGCAGAATTCGTAACATTAATCAGGGCCTGTCAATTGGCAAAAGGAATAACTGCTAATATTCATACAGGCAGAAAATCTGCTTTTGGAGTAGCTCATGATTTGGGAATGCTATGGAAACAAAGAAGGTTTTTAACCGCTTCTGATCAGTCTGTAAAAATTGGACACCTTATTTCACAGTGGCTAGAAGCCACATTATTACCAAAATCACTGCCCATTATTAAAATCCCAGATCATCCCAAAGCAGATACTCCAGAAGGCAATGGAAATTAGCTACCTGATAAGGCAGGAAAAAGAGCCGTACTAAATGCATCTAAACAGGAAAAGTAATCTATACAAACTTTGAAAGAAGCACCTGAATTTGACAGAAAAGGAGCTAAGTACAGACCTCCAGAAGCCGAACAGGAAAATTGGAAGACAAAAGGGAGAACATACACTCCCAAAGATGAGGTGTGGTGTGGGCCAAATAACTTACCTATGTTTCCTGCTGAATTACAGTCATCATTTTAAACCTACATACGTGATTCAACTCATTGGAGTCCTGATGAAATGGTTGCTTGGAGAAAACAAGACTTTTGAAAACCGTCTCTGGTTATAGTTCAGAAGATATACAATCACTGTCGTTATCTGCTCAAAATACAATCTAGGGAAACCTTTACACAGTTCCCAAGGACATTTGCCTTTACCTGAAGGCCCCTACGAAGGATGGCAATTAGATTCTATTCCGCTACCACCATTGCAAGGATACCAGTATGTTCTAGTGATTATTTGCATGCTTTCTCATTGGTTAGAAGTGTTTCCATGTAGAAGAGTGACTGACTGCCTTAGCAGTAAGTAAAATTCTTTCAGGAAACATTGTTCTGACTTTGGGAGCTCCCTTAAAACTCCACAGCGACCAAGCTACTCATTTTACCAGACAGAAAATTAAGCAGCATGTAAAATATGGCCTTTCCTCCAACACTCTCATTGTGTATGTCATCCCCAATCATTTGGATTGGTGGAGCATACAAATGGAATAATTAAGATTCAATTGGCAAAAATAACAGAAGTTTTAAAGATTCCACGGCCAAAGTCTCTTCCATTTGTTTTTCTTAACCTAAGATCAGTCTCATTTAGAAAATAACAGTTTTTGTCTCCAATTGAAATAATAACTGGCAAACCTATGAATCTGTCCCCAGAAAAATGTAACTCCTTAATTGTAAAGGGAGACATTTCTTTATTATTATTACTTTACGAAACAAATAAAAATTACAATCTAGTAAAAGATTCTTAGTGACCTCTCAGGAAATGAAGAATTAAAGACCCACAGTCTTTAACCAGGAGATTTTGTTTACTGGGAATGACATATTTTAAAAGATTGTCTCCGACCGAAGTGGAAGACCCCTTACAAAGTGTCTCTTACTAATCCTCCAGCTGTTAAATGAGAAGGAATAGACTCCTAGATCCAATTTCCTCATCAAAAAAGGCTCCATCTCCTGAGTGAAATGTTTCCTGGAAGGTGACCTTCAACTCAAGTTAATGCCAGGTTGAAGAGAAGATAATATCTGATGTAGACAGCTAAAACCCAAGGCTTCCGACCAGGTCTATATCTAAACAAATGCCTAATATTAACATTTGTTAATAAATAGATAATGAAGATTTTCCTTTACAAGCTCCCACTAAACTTCTTTTCATTCTTAGTTCTCATGTCTTGCTTCTACTATCACCAGCTGTTCCCCATGAAACAAACCTCTCTTTGCAATGTGCCCAAGACTGTGCTAATAGATTACAAATATATGCTTGTTGGAGTTGTGGTCTCATTCCCTTTCCAGTAGTTTTGGCCTTCTATGGTGGGTATCTCTCAAGACAAGATTGGATAGAATGTCAGAAATATATCTGTGTTTCTCAAAAACAGTCATCGACGTTTTACGCTGGTAGGACTAAGGATAATGTACATCACTGGCCTATTAATAATACTTTATAGAATAAAGATCACAGTAAAAACTTCTCAGTAAAAGAAACTAGTTCATGCTGGTGCTGCCCCTACTGAGGAATGAAACAACCAGACGGCCCCAACTGAGAGTTGAGACAAGTCAATTTTAGAACACC